TGTCCGTGGCTGAGATCACCAATGCCTGCTTCGAGCCAGCCAATCAGATGGTCAAGTGTGACCCTCGCCACGGCAAGTACATGGCCTGCTGCATGTTGTACAGGGGAGATGTGGTTCCCAAAGATGTCAATGCTGCCATCGCCACCATCAAGACCAAGCGTACCATCCAGTTTGTGGATTGGTGCCCGACTGGATTCAAGGTGGGCATTAACTACTAGCCCCTGACCGTGGTTCCAGGGGGAGACCTGGCCAAGGTGCAGTGGGCCGTGTGCATGCTGAGCAACACCACTGCCATCGCTGAGGCCTGGGCCCGCTTGGACCACAAGTTCGATCTCATGTATGCCAAGCGGGCCTTTGTGCACTGGTATGTGGGAGAAGGCATGGAGGAAGGGGAGTTCTCCGAGGCCCGGGAGGATTTGGCGGCACTGGAGAAGGATTATGAAGAGGTGGGCGTGGATTCCGTGGAAGCAGAGGCTGAAGAAGGAGAAGAATACTGAGTAGGCATGAGCAGCTGGCAACTCTTCCTTAACTTCCTGCTCACATGCACTGTTTACCATTACAGTATGTACCTATTAAAGTTCCTGTATTGAAGCATTAAAAAAAAAAAAAAAAAGAAAGACAGTGTTGACATATTACCCCCCGGGGTGGGGAGTTAAAGATCACAGCCTTTTGAGGTGTCTACCAGTCATTGTTCACATATGAAGAATGCTGAGTATTTGGCAGTGGTTCCTCGTCCCCCTACTCTGGCACCCCCAGCTCTTTCCCTTTGGGCTCAGCACCTCTCTTTCTTCTCCCTCTCTGTCTCACTCTATTCTCAGCAGTGTGCTTTTGCTAAGAATGGAAAAATCTACGAAGCTGATAACCCCCATCCTCTTCTTGATATCCCCTCTGATTGCATGACATCTGGGGGGCAGTGGGATCTTTTGGGTTATATTAATATGGGCTAGGTGACAGACACTGATTTGAATGACATTTGTTGCTGAGCACAACCATGAGATAGGTACTGTTGCTATCCTTATTTTACAGATTAGGAAGCAAAAGCTCAGAGAGGTTCACTAATCTGCTCAATTTGCCCAGCTGATAAAGAACTGGAGTTCAACTTGCCTGTTCCCCTGCTCTCCCTGCCACTGTGTCCTGCTGCCTGGCCCTCTTCTGTGTCTGACCTCATCCTATTCCCTTGGCTCTTGAGAAAAGGCATTCATTCAACTGGAGAAGCCCCCCGGCTCATAGATCTATTCCAAAGTGGCCTCACCTGGTTCTTTCAAGCAGCACCTTGGTGTAGCGGTGGCTGGGTGCACTTACTCAAAGGCACTTGAGCCTCAGCCCCAGTGGAGCTGAACTCCCCATATCTTCCGTGGCCACTGCCCTTGACCCCCAATACTATCTGCAGAAAGCCACCCTACGTATTTGTTCACATGCAAAATAAATAGATGCGTGGTGTCACAATACTTTATAATAGTGAAACACTGGCAACAACTAGATGCCTGTTGGCAGGTGACTGGTGCTAGCTGGTTGGAAAAAGGTAGCCATTCTGAAACGTGGCAGGGACTCATAGTAGGAAAGCAGCTGTAGAGCTTGGCGTTTCCCTTCTTTTTCTGGAAGTTATTCCAAAGCCATGAGAAAAATGGGGTGGAGACTTCGCAGACAGTGTTTGTAGGTAAAACTAGGGAAGAAATAGAATTGTAGGCTCCATTCTGTGTGCAAAGGCTGCTGAAGCCCAGCCAGCGGTCACCAAGGTGGAAGGGCAGTGCCAGACGGCCTGGGGGGACAGCTGGATGACAGCTCTGGGAACATGCACATCCCCCCGAAGGCGGCAGGTATTCTTCCTTGGGATCCAGTTATAGAAGGGGGTGAGCCCAACCAGTTAGGGTCACACAACAAGGAAAGGTGGGAGCATCAGTGACCCACTGCTAACCTTGGTAATTTAAAACCTCAGTTTGTTGTTATCTTTCTCAAGCCTGGGCCATGACAGGCTTCAGCGCGTGCCCATTCCTTGGGGCTCCCCACCTGCTTGCTGTAAGAGTCCTCTGAGCTGCTTGCTTCCCAGAGTCCTCTGAGCCATTGCTCCTTGGGGAGCCAGACTTCTTTCGTGATGGCAAATGTTCCCAGAGCCCTTGCTCCAGCTGGCCTGGCCTGAAGCTACCAAGTATCTTCGGATCTACTGTGACAGCCCCATGAAGTCACCTCATATTTGTTGCCAAACAAGTTGGCTAAGGGCATCCCAGATTTGGGGGAAAAGTAGGAAAGATCCTATAGCTGAAGGGAAAAGAACAGCAAAAACTCGGTGGGCCATTAGCTCTCCTTGTGGGGCTCCACGGGGTTCACAAGGAGAGGCTGTGGTTGTGTGAAACAGGCTCAGGTGGCAAGGAAACCTAGGGTTCAGTTCCCTGACAGAGCCACACCCCAACAACTTGTCTAGTTGGGGATAAATGATATAAAACATCAGAAGTGAAAGAAAAGATAGGTTAGCAAAAACTTCCAACAATGGCCGGATACTCTTCAGAAAAACAAGGCCACAGAGCAGATGGCAACTACCCAGCACTGTGTAATTGAATTTTAAAAAGTGAATGTAGTAATTCTTTCTATGTAGGAGGACTACAAAACAAAGGAACAGGGGGAACGAAGGCTGAAACTCACCATTTAGTAACCCCTAATGTACTAGCTGATGAAGGCAAGGATTATCAAGAGATGCTAAAACCCTTGGGTAAAAACTGATGGCTAGAATGTTCTGATGGTGATAAAGTGTTGCCACACAGGTTAATTAGTAATTGTAGAGGGGAGATGTGTGTGGCATGGGAGGAACCTATGTTTACTCAGCTCAGCCAAGTGATCAGACTTGGGTCACTGACAACAGGAGCCTATGTCATGTGTCTCCTGACAGAATGTGACTCGCCGTATATCAGCTGGGTGGAGTGTTTAATCTCTGGGCAGTGAAGCTTTATCTCTAGCTGGCAGCTTACTAAATAGAAATGCTATAAAAGCAAAACGTGAGCTATAAAGACACAACCAGGCACATGAGGACATTTTACAAACTAACTGTATGTATTCTTGAAAAAAGCAAATGTAACAAAAGAGAATAAACATAACCAGTGCAATGTATGTGGATATGAGATTGAAAAGATATCTAAGAAACATTTTGGGGGGTGATTTGGTATATTTAAGTATGGATTAGAGGCTGGGGAGATGGCTCAGTGGAATAAGCGCTTGCCTGGCAAGCGCAGGGGCCTGAGTTCAATCCCCGATTCTGCCAAAAAAAGGTATGGATTATATGGATTAGATGATACTGTGGAATTATTATTAAATTCTTCTTAAATTAGTATTCACCTCCAAATATTTTTTTCTTTTTCTTTTTTTTCTTGTGGTACCGGGAATTGAGCTCACAACCTTGCACTTGCCAGGCAGACACTGTCCCCCAAATATTTTCCTTGCTTCCACACTTTATCTTTTGAAACCTACCTGCTAAAGTGGGAGAAGATGAGATCTTAGCTCAGGAGGGTGGAGCCCTAGTGCGCAGGGTTTGTGGCCTGTTGAAGACGCCTTGTGCCTTCCACCGTGTGAGGACACAGCAAGAGCTGCCCAGTAGGAATTGGGCGCGAGGTCTGCCAGTGCCTGGCTCTTGGGTCCCCAGTGCTGCAGAGCCATATGAAATAAATGTCTTTTCCCTTACATGCTCTTTCTTTCTTAGTTAGGGCACCTTAGTTACACAGACCAGTAGATTTCCATCTGGGAGGACTCATGCTTCCATGTGACCTACTATATGTCCGCCCCACTCACTTTTCCTCTTTCCCTCTCCCCCTACACCTTGCTCCCTTCCTCTTTCTGGTAGCCCCTTCTAACCCTTTAGGTTAGCTCTCTGTTTGTGTTTTTTTTTTTTTTTTCCAGAAGTCTTCCAACAGTTTACTAGGAAGATGCAGACATTAAAAAACAACAGCAACAACAACAACAACAAAACCTCCCTGTGATGAACATAAATTGAGGTTTTTCAGCCAGGGTAAAAGCTGAATCAAAATCAGAAATAAAGCCGGTATGGTGGTGCATGTCTGTTAATACCAGCACTTGGGAGCCTGAGGCAGGAGGATTACCTTGAATTCAAGGCCAGCCTCAGGTATGTTTGAGGCCAGCCTGAATTACAGAGTGAGACCTTGCCTCAGAAACAACCAAAAAAACACAAAAAAGAAGAAGGAAAATTAAAAAAAAAAAAACAAAAACAAAAAAACAGACAAAACAGGTACAAAGTCCAATGGTGTATTGCTTTTTGTTTGTTTGTTTGTTTGTACTGGGGCTCGAACTCAGGGACCTTGCACTTGCCAGGCAGTTGTGAATGTCACTGAGCCATCCCTGGCCCCCATAGGTATATTAACATCTCCCCCCGCCCCCAACCAGGTATTGAATTCAAGCCCTTGCTCTTGCCAAGGAAGCGCTTATTCCACTGTGCCATCTCCCTGGCCCAACATCTTTTCATTCATTTGCCACACTGACCCTGCAAATGCCAATCTGGTCCAAACGTAGAGGCCCAAGCAACAGCGTACAGCTGCCTTCGAGCTCCAGGCTAAGAGATGTGAAAGCTTAAGGACCGAACAATGCCAATGTACAGACTTCTGAAGCCATCCAAGCTACGGCATTCACTCATTTTAGCTACCGCACAGCAGGAGCCCTGACATGTGATCACTTCCATATAATAATGTGAAGTAAATTGTTTAGAAATTAAAAATTCAGGGGAACGATCTGAAAGGCCCACAGAGGAGTGGCAGGATAGCAGTTTAGGGTGTCAGTCACTTTGGTTCAGCCACTGTGAGCCTATTCTGAAATCTACAATTTAGCTCTCTCCCTGTGCTAAAACTTTCTATCGTGTTACTATGTTGTGAAGCGAGGAGGGGTTAGGTGACTTTTTTTTAAAATCACAATGGGGAAGCATCATCTAAGGATGATGCCTTAGGTGACTTAAAATTGCCCAGTGGTACATACATTATCAACCTTTACCAGAGTCCCAAAAAGGACAGGTTGGAAAAACTGGTTACGCTAGCGGGCTGGAGAACACAGAGGTTCAAGTCACCAGCCGAGTCAGGTTTCTGTAAAGGGTTAACAGAATTTCGTGCTTTAGCTGTGGAAAATTATTAAAAAACTCTTGTGCTTCCTTTTGTCTACTCTAAGAAATCTCCCTCTCGGCTCAACGCTGTTTAAACCATAAATAACTTTCTTGTCAAGGCAGCAAGCTAAAACAAACTCCCTCTCTAACCATCTCCTATAACATGGCCGGCTTAAGATGTATCTTACAAAAATATACACTTATCACTAAGCTGTAAAAGACCCTTTAGTCACAGTTTGCAGCTGTGTCAAATAAATGTAGTTTCTGTTGTTCCGTGATAGATATTAAATTCGCTTACCAAACTGGATGTGATTTCTGTTATAAATACTCCGATGCTACCTATGTTCCATTGCCGATCAGTCTTCTCCTGCATGAGAAATGGCTGATGGACCTGAGCTCAGTAAATAAAAGGGTCTATTCACATTTCTATCTGGCTGATCTGGTTCCTATGCTGAGTAACCCATAACAGTTTTAGTTCAGTTTAAATAAGGCAGGGCCGGGGAAATGGCTCAAGGCTTTATTGTCCTATTAGCAGTAGGAAGCTGATAGCTGGTTATTATGTGATTGGTTGCATGGAGTACAAGAATTACATCATCTGTTGTCAGGCAGGTTTGTACAGGAACATTCTGGGAAGGAAGGGGTCTGAGGAAATTAGGCAGAGTTGAAAATGTCCTTGACTGGGCCAGTCTTCCCCCACACATGAGGGCCTTGAAGCCCTTGAAGCAAGCTGGAGTCACTGCATATTTTTAAAACATAAGCTGGACACAGTCAGTTTGACCCACACATTGTTAAGGGGGAACATCCGGACCCAGATAGTCAAGGCTGGTCACGAGGCAAGGAGCGTGAGCAGAGTCACAGGCTGTCACCTGATTTATAGCCTTTGTGACAGTCTGCCTCAGGTCTGCTGTTCTGTCAGTGTGCCCTAACAAAACGAAGTTTGGATTTTTCAAAATGTCCATTGACATCTTTACTGTCCTCAACACCAAATTCAATGAAGACCAGTCCCTTCGACCAGCTGCTTTGCAGAGCAGGGGCGGGTGAGCCCTGTGCGGGCCTCTGGTGGAGGCTGCTGGGAGCCCCTCTTCTCCCATGGTGATGCTGGCCTTCTTCCCTCCTGGGTCAAGGCAAAGTGGAAAGAGTAGGAAAAGGGGTTCAGAGATGAGGTTTGTTTTCTTTGATTCAACATGTGAGACAAAACACATGATATTTTCTTTTCTTTTCTTTTGGTTTTTTGGCGGAACTGGGGATTGAACTCACGCCCTTGTGCTTGCCAGGCAAGCGCGTATTCTACTGAGCCATCTCCCCGGTCCCTGATATTTGCTTTTCTGAGTCTAACTTAATTTGCTTAACATTTTCCTGAAAATGTGGCTTCATTCTTCTTTATGGTTATATGATGTTCCGTTGTATATGTGCAACTTTTTAAAAATCCCTTTATCCGTTGATGGGTGTTGGGAGCCCCTGAAGCTCGAAATTGATCCTATGTGGGAGGGCAGGATGAGGCTTCATTGTCTAAAGCAGTCAGGCTACCTCAGTCCTGAGAAAACATCCTGCCTGGACACTGTGGGCTATTAGCCACTAGGCAACCTCGTGTCTTGAAACTTTGTAAAGGTATAAATAAAGGCTCCTACTGCTTCCCCGGGGGTCCTTTGCCCCTCAGGCTTGGTCCACCACTGACCTCAGCTATTGTCTCTTGTCTTTATTTTCTAAATCCTCTTGTCATTTCTTCCCGGTGCCACTGAAACACCACCCAGTCCACTGAGAGGCATACTTAGGCTGATTCTTTACCTTACCTATTGTGGATTGAGCAGAGTAAACATGGATATATACATATCAGGTCTTTTGGGAATATCCAGGTCTGCTATATCTGGACTGGTAGATTATTTTTAGCTTTTTTGAGGAATCTTCATACTGATTTCCATCATAGCTGTGCCAACTCATGTTCCTACCAGCAGTATAGAAGAGTCACTTTGAGTTCATATCCTCACCATTTATTGTTTTTCTGCATTCTTAATAAGAGCCGTTCTGATTGGGTGTGATCGAAGCTCCATGTAGTTTCGATTTGCATAGCCTGGATGACTAAATATATTGAGTATGTTTTCTTATTTTGTAAATTAATTAATTAATTTTATTTTTTCTTATTTTTATTTCACCTCGTGAGAACTATCTTTTCAGTTCATATGCATGTTTATCGCTTTTTGGGAAAGAGGATTGATTTTAAGGTGTCGAGTTTCTTATATATTCCGAACATTAATTTTTTGTCACAAGAGATGCTGGCAAAGATTTCTTTCCCATTCTCTAAGAGGTTTCTTGTTTTCTTTGCTGTGAAGGTGTTTTTTAATTTCATCTGATCCCATTTGCCAATTATTTTTCCATCTTTCAATTCTTGTTATTATTTCATGTGCTGCTTAGAATCCTACTCAGAAATCTTTTTCCTGCACCTGTAGCTTCAGTCATTTTCTCCTAGCAGTTCTGAAGTTTCATATTTTATAATTAGGTCTTTGATCCTTTTTTTTTTACATTAGATTTTATTGGTATATTTTAGACATACATAATGATCACATCCATCATAGAAAATTTGTACCTGGACGTGATGTGAGCCGTGTTTCTCCCCATTCTGCTGCCCTCCCTCCGACCCCTCCTGCCTTTCCCATTTACAAAACTTTGAGAGAATGTGGGGAAGATGAGGAATTCTCTGAGTTTGAACAAAGGGAGGCTGAGGCTTTTATGGTCTTTTGTCAGGGGTGGAGTTTGACAGGGATATTTAAATATACTTGAGAAACTGTCTGGGGGCCTTCCCTGAGGTGGTGGGAAGCTTGAAAGGAATTTGCACCCTGGACTGAGTTGGAGAAGAAGCAGGGAGGTAGTCTTGGGAAGATGGGCTTTTGTTTTAAGGCTTTCAGCCATATTAGATGACCATAATGATTTAACAATTCATACTAGGACCAGAATCTATCATCTGGCCTATCCTTCTTTATGGCAATGTAGTACTCCATTACATTTTTTTTTTAAACACACATCTTTATCCATTCATGAGTTAATAGGTACTTGGGTTACTTCCAAGGTTATTACAAACTGTGCTGCCATAAATGTGGGTGGGCTTATGTCACTGTGACGTTTTTAGTTCTTCTGAGAAGATATTCAGGAGGGGAATGGCTGGTTCAAACAGAACCTCTGATTCTTTTTTTTTTTCTTTTAGGCATTTCTACACTGATTTCCATAGAGGTTGTATGAACAGTGGCAAAGGGTTCGTTTTTCCCCTCAGCCTTGCCAGCATTTGTTATTGGTTCTTTTCTTGATAATGGTCACTCTATCATCCATTCCCGGGGTGAGATGAAATCCCAGTGTTTTAGGGTTTTTTAAATGTATTTGGTACAGTGTCTCACTACATAACTCAGACCTGTAGTGTTCAGCCTCCCCAGTGCTGGGATTACAGGGGTGCACCACCATGCCTGGTCCAGGTGGCCAGCTCAGAGCAGCTGGGAGGGCATGGCCAGCATGGCCTGTGGTGGGGATAGAACCCTGGTCCCTGAGCTTGCCTAAGCAGGTGCTTAGTCCACTGAGCTATCTAACCAGCCCTCTTCTCCAGCATTTGTTGTTATTTGGTTTCTTGATGGTGGCCATTCTTTCTGGAGTAAGATGGAATCTCAGTGTTATTTCTATTTGCATTTTCTGATGGCCAAAACCCAACATTTTTTCATGTACTTATTTACCATTTATATTTCTTTTTTTTTTTTTTTTT